TCAGTCTAATTGATGGTTTAGCGACACAATCATGCATGCAAATAATCAGTATAAGCAGTCGAGCAAACCTCCTGCAAACTGAAAACATCAATGTCGAATTTACCCCAACACTGGCTAAGGTTCAAGCCATTATCATAGACATGAGTTGGGAGTGTACTCCCCCTGGTTACAACTTATGTTCTCCCTGATAATCACATGAGCATCACTCACTATTAATCATCTTGTAAAAACTTATTTAGCTAAATACATCTTGCAGCACCACATCACTTCGTAATATGACACAGGCCTAACTGATTTTAATAACTTATAACCACTATATCTCAATTAAATCGTATTCCGCCTTATGATAAACTGCATACTTGCAACTAACTTGTATGCCCAATCAGCCAGCAAGTATAAATATAAATAGTCTGCCGCAGATCAGAACATTGAGTACAGAGCATGTCTCTTACGAATACACTCATGTTTAACGATTTGTTCCTAGCTATCTGTCCAAAATTCATATAATTATCACTTATGTATTTAAATTTTGTTTTGATAAACATTCATGTGTATTAGTAGTATTACTAAATTCTACCACGGTCAAGTAAAAATGAGGTTGAGAAAATCTCCCCGTAACTAAATAAACCGTATCAAACTGACTGGAACACTAGTTGGAATTCTTCTCCACGGTATACTTTTGTTCTTTCAGTTAGCCTACTAATACAGATGCAATTGGAATTCAACTCATATGGACAACTTACCGGCATAATCGTTATTTGATTTTATAATTTAAACCAAAACTAATACCCATATTAATATTTCTACAACATTCATCACTTTAATACTTCTAAACACAAAATACTTACTACCTATACGTTAAGTTATTAACCAACGGCTATTAGCACGCATCGTTGTATTATTATTATTGTTATGCCATTCTTTATAGTTCAAATAATCTTCACCCAAATTCTCATTTCAAGCGTTTTAAGCATGAAGGCAGATATTTTAAAATTATTACATGTATTTCCCGACCAGATGCTGCCGCTTTCTTTTTGATTTATCTTTCAGCTTACCAATACCCGGAGGATTCTTATTATCCTTGGTAACCTCCGGCGCGCGACGATTCCATCCACTTTGGTATCGAACCAACATCACGTTGATTCTGGTGGGAGAGTAGTGTAGTGGCATTGGACAATAGCCACACAATCCACAAAGCTGTGAACACGAGACTACTCAGAAAATAGATATTCAATATTTAACTCGGGGAAATACCTAACAATGGAGAAGGCGCGGAGAATGAATTGAATGGACTGGGGTTGATCGAGTGGCATGGCTCGGCCATGCAGGCGTGGTCTCTGCTGAATGTTACCTTATATCTTCTATTCATATTAAATATATTGTTCTTTCTCTAGCCTAACATTGTTCTACATCATGTATTGGTAATTGGTACGATACAGTGAGTTGGTGTAGTCGATGGTGTGACTTCCACGTAAGATCTTATAGATTAGGCAGTTATATCATGACAAATCTACAAATTTAGGATTAGGTCTATTATTAGAGCAGTACTAATATCATAGTAGACCATAATTCTGCAGATATTCAACATTTGATGCTGACCACGTTAGTTTTAATGGACTCTGCTGGCTGAAGATGCTCGGTCATGCATTCGTATCAGATCACTAGTGAGCATAACGTGCTCAATTTCCCCTGCAACCGCTAGCCAGTTAGATAAGTCGTTTCTCGATATATTAATGGTCTATCACATATTTTTTCGAACCTCCTCGCTTCTGACTTTTGATTTCACTAGGCGGGCACGATACATAGTAGGTGTTACTGGTTGAAGTTTTGCAATCTAGAAACACTTTTTGCATCTTCACATAACAATACTAATCTTTTCAAGGAATTTAACTACAATAATGGTCAAACTGATAGGTCATTAGTTAAGTACAATCCGTCTCTTTCCACACCTAAATATAGAACACGGGAGAAAAGTAATCGACTTTCAAACTGGACCGCGCATACCCTTCCGCCAACTTTGAGTGGCTGAATAGAAGAGGGTATTCCGTATTCAAATTGCTTGGGGTCGGTTGCGTAAGTGTAGGTTAGCTTGGTGCTCAGTTGTTGGCACAGTCACGTAGACTGTTGATATCTGAAAACCACCAAGTTTATTATCAACATAATAAACAAAGCTTTTGTATTTTTTGGCATAAACCCCAGTTTGGTTACTGATGTTTGACATTTTATGAGAAAATATCGAATGAATAATTTTTCCTACAGTTCAATATAGCCAGGTAAGTAAATAATATGAATAAAAATAATCACACACAATTCTGTATGCTGATAAACTGGGCAACATCTGGTTCTATTCGAAGTTAAAAAGATGACTCACGATCAGTGAGGTAGGAACTGTTATCGTTCCCCTTTACTGTTAATAGTACCTTCTGCACTGCTGTTTGTGATGTTGCTCCACAATTATACATTTTTTATTTTGTCTTCTACTGACATAGTCTAATTTGTCGTGCTTCCTGTCCCAGAAATCCATCGGCTGACCTGACTGGTGAGTTCAGGTGTATCATTCTGAGCAGATGGTTCATGATTTAGGTGGAATTCGGATTAGTGTTGAGTGAATTCCAGCACTTAAGTGATATATATTCTTATGTTTTAGATTTCTCGCACTCGCTATATACATATGGGAAGTTTCCGGATAAGCGACACTAGATCCAAGTATACGTTTGACCGAAAACGTAAACCACAAGGTCTAGGAATCATTACTAAACCGTGAGGACGGTAATTTAAAATTACATTTCAGATCTAAGTTTACGAATTTGCATTTATTGATCCGTGCAGTCCTTCAACAAGTTGATTAAGTGATGAAATCACGTCCGGTGAGATGAAATCATTCTTGTGAAAGTTCTTGGATGATCCGTTGACGAGGCGATTTGCTCCAAGGGGTAAGAAGAACCTGAGGTCAGCACTGTTCAAGTCATCATTCTTAGATCAAGCGATCGAATGTGTTAGAGAGGCTGGCCATGAAGTCACTATAACCGAAATGAAGACAATGAAAGCTAAAATGTCTACAATTATGTACGTATTCCTATATTTTTAGGCTATGGTTCTCGGTTGAAAGTCTTCATTTTCTTAAAATATGAGGCGAACTGAAAGAATCTTCTTTCAAATAAAGACCCGTAATTAGGATCTGCATCTGTATGTAGGATGAGATAGCATCATACCAAAAATAAGTGGAAGTTGTCGGTTAAGATTCTACTTACAAAACCAATAATGAGAAATGAGGATGTTGCCTGGCAAATTTTACTGTGAAGTATTCATTGTTTCAATTGGTGATAACTGATAACTTCCGTCATGGTTGTCCGATTTTATTCGCATGCACAAGGATGGAATGAAGAGCTGATGTTATCTGGATATTAGACCAGCTCACGGATATAATAGATGACACGTAAAGTACAGAGGTGGTCGTCATGGACTGTGCGCAGGATGAGTCACGAATAGCTAAGTAAGAAATCCATTTCATTATTTCATGAACAACGATCTTTTGCACACTTACGTGATCACATACTCAGTGCTGAAAACTGAACTTAATAAGTCCCTAAGTCAAACGGTAATATTAATATTACACCATAATGCGTCTACATTTATAGACTTAGTTTTTCATAGTATTCTTATTAACCATTATGTGCAGTTAGACTGTTCCATGAAAATGATATTTGTTTTAAATGTCAGTGTAACTGCAGAAATGAGGGAAAGTAAACCGCTATTGTTCGCTGCACTTAGGCACAGGGTTTACATGTAAAGTAGATTATGAAGCGGGATGTTGAAGTTGACGGGACCTGTGTCAATAACAGTAGGCGTATGAAAGCACTTTGTTGAATTTATGATGTTTGTTAAAAACAAGTGAATGATAGCTGTCATACACTCATGTTTAAATCTGGGGGTGAAGTAACATATATGTAATATATACCAGAAATAGTTGTAATCCATCCGTACATTGTTCGCCAGTATATCCTCCCGTTTACGGCAATTATCGACCATGCATATTGGTTAACATTAGATTAATATCAAGATCTTAGCTGAACATGAAGTTGGTAGAAGCCATCATTTTCGAATCACGATATTTGAAATGATGGTCTATCTTAAACTTCCCCTTGTGTCAGTGAGTACACATTCGTCCACGTATTGAGATGACGAGTTCTACGCATTGGTGATTCGATGGGGATGTTGATAGATGGTTTACAAGTGTGTGGTGGTCGGTATTCAATATAATCCTTAAACTTCGTATACAGTTCGTCCTGATAACCGTCACTAGATAACGCCCCAACGGTGAGTTAATCAGAAGGCGAATACGAAGTGTTGATTACATTTATTATTGCACCACACACAGGACACCAAAATTACAAGTACTGTACACAAGCATGAAAGAGCAAGCGAGTTGAATGAGCCAGTCAATGAACAGGATCAAAGTGTACATATATATAGTGAAATGAATGAATCATTGAATCAATCAAGAGGTTGATAGTAAGGCTAGCAGAGTGAATATATGCATAGGCAGTAAACAATGCTTAAGTATACATATTCATACAAGTGCAACAATAATAAAGGTACAATGATATAAGATAACTTGTTATTGTACGAATGACTATTCGTGTTAAATAAGTTAACAAAAAACGGCTTCACCAAATTAAATGTGAACAAACTCAATTTCACGTGAGCTACTATAAACTAATTGGGTGAGACTATAATATATGGACGACCTTTGAGTGATGCTAAAATAACCATGGGAACATCTACCTACTAACTAGGACTAAATGATGACTATAAAGCAATGTAAGAAATTAGAATTATGATTTACATTTGATGGTTAGGGTTAGGAACTAGATTAAGGGATTTCATCATGAACTGACATTAGCTAAAATGCTAACACACTATTAAGTCAAATGGTTGAGTGAATTTCGCGTCAAAAATTCAAGACCTGTTATCTTATACCTGGTTGGTCCGTCCATAAGTTATAGTCTCACCGCTAATTGTTTAAATATATATACATTATAAATCATTAAAACAAACCATATTATTATAATAAACATACTATATATAACAAGAAATAATAAACCAATTAATAAATTATTTTTACTAGGCCATTGATAATAAGATTTTTCAATTCTTAATCTATATGATATTTTTAGTTGCCATGGATTATTTGATTGATATTGATTTTTTATGTAACAATTATAAATATTAGAATCAATTAATTTGACATTATGAATAATTAATTGACATTTTTCATTTATATAAATTCTTTCATTGAATATAGTAGGAGAATAAAATGTTAAATTAGTTGTACTCCATTTAATGAGATTATTATTATTATTATTAGTGGCAGTAGTATGGTTACATATATATTCTTTAGTAAGATAACAATCTAATGTTATGAATGGTTCATATTCCATAGCTAATTTTTCTAATTTCATATAATTTACATGATGATAATCATGAATATTTAATTTCATCTTAGTTACATCATATTTTAAAGGTAAATTCATCATTTCTATTGTATCTAATTGATGAACACAATGTAAATGATATGTAATAGTTACATAAAGATTTAATATGTTTAATGGTTGAAATGTTTCGTTTAAATTAGGTAATTGTTTGAAAAAATTATATTGGCATGGTATGTATAAATAAGTTTTATTTAAAAATAATTGAAAACCTAATTGAGTTGCTAAATTTTCTGAAGATTTTTTAAATAACCGCCGAAAATTTAATTGATTAGTATTGTTATCATCATCATCATCATAAAATTGTCCAAGTTCATAGAAACCATTGAATAATATAAAATAAATTAATTTTATTTCTTCTATATTATTATTACTATTATCAATATGGATTGGTAGTTTTCTTGGTATCTGTACATAACAAACACGATTTTGTTGGACATGGATATTACCACAATATTTGTAGTGTGTTAAATTATGAAATGATTTTGATGTAATACGTAGTAAACTGAATGTTTGATCATGAAAATATTCTGGCCGATTCATTTCTTCTTCAATATATTTTTGTAATTGTATTAATTGATTATATGTAGTTACAGATTTATTCATTCGTTCTATAAATGGTAAATTTAATCTAGACCATGTATTTGTATAAGCATTAATATAATCTATATGATACCATATAAAATTTAAAGGATGTTTATTATTATTTAATGACTGACATACATAAGTACCAGAATCATGATATGGATCAAATTTTTTATAAACTAATTCATTTGTTCTATTTATTAAACATGGATCATTTATGAGTGTATTAGTTAGAACTGGTTCAAGTAAATCTCTATTCAATATCCATTTATGATCATAGAATGTTTTATTATTTAAATGAAATATTGTTTGATTATATTTTTTACGTAGAATACGATACCATTGAAAATGTATTGGATTATCATTTGAACATAAATGACATGCTAATTGTAAATTCATTGTAAATTGATCACGTTTAATTAATCTAATAATATGACGTTGTTTAGCTAAATTTAACTGTAATGCATAACATTTATTTAATTCATTATTATTATTGTATATAACAGTTTTATTATTTGGGCAGACGTTTAAATGACTGGAAATTGGAATAAAATTAAGTAAAAATGAAAATACTAATAATAATGATGAGAGTAGTATAACTGAGGTGAAATACATGAAACTTATAGTAAATGTAAATAACTAAGTTAAATTCTTGTTATGACCTTGTGTTTTTTGGAATGATCGATTATATTGTGGATTGATCAAATATAATATCTTACTTACTTTATAATGAATGAAACAGGACGATAGACATTGCATTCGTACTAACACGCTGGATTTGTTTTCTTTTTCCAGCTAAACAGTTATTAATCACATTCAAGTGTAACCCCAAAAACGGAACAAATTTCACATAATACATATTGTTTTAGGACAACAAGTCCAAGAGATACAACTAGTACTATATTTTAAATAATCTAACCAATACACTGTTATATCTAGAGTTTACATTCTTAATAGTACCACATATAACTTCAGCACTCGAATGCTAGAACCCTCGAAGTCACAAGTTACAAGACGAAAGACAAATGAAAGGAATGCTATTCCAAGCAGTGTCAAATATGGTCCAAAACTCTCAGGTATTTATAGTTTTTAGTAAAAGCGAAATCATCATCATATTCACCCAATCAGCAAATAGGTGTTTTTAGCATTTATCCAATAGGGAAGCTAAAAGTAGAGGTTCTGGAATATTCTTCCACAAGTTGACTACCTGGAATATCTTCTGCTTTTTTCAGCTTCTAAGAGCTTCCTCGAGTTTAATAGTCGGCCGTCCTCACATATGCGATCTACGGAAATCAAATAAACATGACTTTGATTTATTCAACAGTATATGGTGATGACTGGGGACTAGGCTAATGGTTGACTGGTTCTAAAAGTGTTTAGTGGCCCGATATCTGACTCCAGTTAGATCGTATCACTGATTGCTATTGATAATATATATCCTAGCTACCCTTGTATATAATCGTCTACTTAAATCGCGCTGGTGAACAACAGAATTAAATAAGTCATATACGAGAATGGATTTCCAGTGCGTGTATTTCATACAATCGTTGATCCAGACAAACGATATAAGAAATGAAGCAAAGAGAGAGAAGCGAAACGACACATAGTGGAGAAGGAGTGTGAACCAACTGAATTTAACCATGTCTGAATCAATATTTATAGTCGAACGAAAATAACTTACAGACACGTGATCAATAGGATAACATGTGCATACACAAATGTTCATATAAAAAAGTCACGATTAATAAGCGAATCATTAACAAGATGAAAAAATGACTCAAGAATAATGAATAAATTGGCTTGTCAGGAAGCCAGAATAAAATATGTGGGCTTAACATATGCAACCGATACTACAAATGTTCAACATTCAATCAATAAATTTCAGATTCTTACCCTGATTTACCTACTTCTACTTGATCAACTGACTAATATCACTGTCCGTCAAATAAACATTACAGCCCAATGTTCAGCAGATTATTAATAAAAGAATTTAGATTGCATGACGAGAAACCAGTTGAAAGTTACCATGTTCCATGCTTGCCATTCAATAATCTCATACGTTCCCAACTGTATGTTCAATACATCTAAAATTTTGCTTAAATAAAAATTCATATTTCCTTGGGTGGTAGAACGTAGGAGAAAGTACAAGACAAATAAAAAACCTTCATTGGTTAAAAATGTAAAATCTTCTTGAGATTGTTGAGAAAATGATTTTTGAGAAAAAAATAACTGAAAAGTAATATATACAAATTGATTAACAGATAAATGGCAAAAAATTGATTTATAGATATATAAGTAGAGAAGAAAGAAGGAAAGCACTTTCTTTAACTTCGAATCTATGTTCTGAAATCGAGATCAACAGGCTGGATTCCGTAAGGATCGGTCGTGTACAGACCGAATTGCGACACTACGGATCATCGTCGAACAATCAGTTGAGTGGAACTCGTCACTATACATCAACTTCATTGATTATGAAAAGGCGTTTGACAGTGTAGATAGGAGAACATTATGGAAACTTCTTCGACACTATCGAGTCCCTGAGAAGATTGTCAACATTATCCGGAACTCACACGACGGACTACAGTACAATGTCGTGCATAGGGGACAGCTGACAGGTGCAATCCTAATCATCAAATTCAGACATTGACGTACACAAATTCTGAAGCAATATTTTGCATTTAGTGGGAGAAAATCACATTACAAACATGCTCACATTGTTACTTTAGGCATTCATAAGATCTTGTAATTTTTCAGCGTCTTCATCAGATAGAACCATATCACCTGCGTACTCTAGGTCAACAAGTGAATCTCCTGACAGGAGGCTAACCCCTGAAAAGTCAGACGATAAGTGTGACTTATGACACAATGTATGTGACAAAAACGCCTGTAGCTCTTCCAGAGTTACTGCCGGTCCCAAGCCCAGGTAAAGAGGAGGGTTGGACATGGGGTTAGCGTCCCCATCCCGTAGAAAACTAACTCATTAAAAAACGCTAACCAGAAAAAACAATTCAGACCACGTAAACTCTGCCCTGGGAGTTAAAAGGCCTTCATTTAGAACTATGATGCCTCATGGTGAAAGCCGAGTTCCTTCGGAAGCCACGAGGCCGATGTCCCTTCTTACAACCAGAGTAACAATTTTTATAGGTACATGGAATGTCCGAACAATGTGGGAGACCGGGAAGACCAGTCAAATAGCAATGGAAATGAGGAGATACAAACTGGCAGTACTGGGAATCAGCGGAACCCATTGGATCCAAGCTAGACAACAAAGGCTAAATACGGGAGAGATGCTACTATACTCCCGTCATGAAGAGGAAGATGCTCCGCACACTCAGGGAGTTGCTCTAATGCTGTCCAAAGCAACACGAAACGCACTTGTGGGATAGGAGTCTCACGGATCCAGAATCATCAAAGCATCATTGAAAACAAAGGAGGGAATGACAATGAATGTTATCCAGTGTTATGCATCCACCATTGAAAGAATAAGACGATCGAGCAATGCAATTGTGTTTAATATACCGAATACACATGCCCTTAAAAATATCAAATCTAGTCTGCTTAGAGCCGGCAATATGACACACGTACCATGTGTATGCACAAGATTAAGAAGAAGTCATCCTGGTATGCACTCACCGATATTGTTCAAATTCAACTCATCTGTAGACTCCAGTGAATTTTTAACTTCCTCCAATTCATTGAGACAAAAACAGATTTTCAAGGATATTAAGCCTCTTCCAGATAAAACACCATGCCAGCGAAAAGCAGGAAGAGATAGCTACAGACCATCAGCGTCAAACTCTCAAACGCATCATAATCCTAATGGTCGTAAAATTAAGTCCGATTCTAAGAGGACGTCTAGCTTTACAAGTATGCCGCCACCGAAAAACTCTTCTGAATCTCCTAAAGTTCAAAACCCAGAAGAAAGTAATCCCGATGTAGGTGCTGTCCATCTTCTTAAGAATGTTGACTTAGACTCAACCCGAAGTAGTTGTGCTCATGACGAATGGGATAACACAGTCCAAACCCCTGTTAGTGCAACACCCAGTTACAGTAACTGTGCAACGGATAACAGGAAAACTAATCATAACATTCATATAACTGACCACGCACTTAACGTTGATATATTCGAACCTCGCAAATCATCGCAAGTATGTTTAACAGCACACAATCCTCTCCAACTTATGAAGAAGCCAAAATCAACCACAAACCTTGGAAATAAACGTCCCAAACACGTTACCCATACGTCAGGTATAAATAGTTATCTGAATTGTAATTGGCCACTTGGTCAAAACCATAGACCTGATAGCCTTCTTGGTCCGGCTCCCAATATGTACACTATGCCTTTATCAGATGTTGTATCCAATAGCAGTGGGAAGACTTTTTTTGTAATTCCGCCGGCTTTCCTGCCGGCAACGGTAAACATATTTCACATGATGACGAAGTGGTTGAACCTATTTCCCCTCGCAACACAACTTTTACCTTAGCTAATCCTACGAGTATTCATGGAACTACCAATTGCGATTTATACTCTAACCTGCTTCACTACGATAACTCTGGGTTTCTTATTCTTTCGTTCAATGCCCGCTCTCAGTCCAATAAAATTATTCATCTTAAATTTCTTTTATTCCTTGTAAATCCAACCATTGTACTTATTACGGAAACGTGGTGTAATTCATCTATATCCGATCATTCCTTGAATGTAGATAACTACGTTTTCTTTAGAACCGATAGATGTTATGGAATAGGAGGCGGTACAATTATCTATGTCCGTTCAGACATTCAAGCATGCAAATTTGAGGATAAATCCCTTGATGCTATAGACGACTCCACTTGGATTACTGTAAACTGTGGATCCCAAAATTATTTACTGGTGGGATGCATATATAGACCACCTCATGCGGATACTAAGTTTGATAGATTACTAACAAACATCTTTTCCATTGCTTCGCACCAACTGCATACTTTTAATATCATCGGAGGTGATTTTAATCTGCCAAAAATTACATGGGGCTTGACTCCTCTACCAGGTCGATATAACAAGCTAGTTGAAACATTAGAAATTTGTAGATGGGTTCAACAGGTCCGAAAACCGACCAGGGGGAATAATACACTTGATTTAATGTTCACGATCAACACAGACTCTATCTCAGTGCATACCAGTCATGAATTTTTTATGAGTGGCCATAGAGTTGTATTGAGTATTATTCACTCTTTGAACGCCATACAATTGAACTCTAAAGCTTCATTGATGTACCAAAGCAGACATTTTGATCAACAAACATGGAAACGGACTGGAACTATCATTCAGTGTTTACCATGGGAAACTTATTTTACCACAAACAATGTTGACATTGCGCTTTCCAATCTACACCACAACCTGATATATTGTCTTGACTGCA